GACACACTCCTCTTTGGGAGTGTTCCAAGCACACCCTGCACTCTCGCAAGCCTCTCCTCTCCTTCTCTTTGACGCCCTGCAGTGCGGTGGACGGCTAGACTGGAGAGTGACTCAGATCTGAGTTCTAGTCCCAGGCCCACCACTTTACCAGCAGACTAATCTTAATAAGCCACTTCCCTACTGCATGCCTGTTTCCCCAGCTGTTACATGGGCAGCTTAGACGTCCTTACAGGCATTCTGAGGCTCCTCTCCCTGCTTCTTGCCTCTGCAGAAAATAAAGGGTCAAAATATGTGCTCAGGGAGAGAACAGAGGTCTCTTTTCAGAAAAAAAGGCTGGAACTCAGGGCAGGGCTGGGGGCCTCAGGCTTTGGGGCCTGAATGTCCTGAAAGCCCAGCTTTGGCCCTGGGGATGGTGACTTTGCCACTGAGGCCTCCAGCAGGGCTGGGCAGGCTGAGCTGGCAGAAGAAGGAGGCTTGTTTTTCAGGGCCTGGCCTTCCCTGGGGGTGTCTCCTCCTTGGCCTGCAGGGCTTGGCCCAGCCCCTGGCAGAGCCAAGCTCAGCTAGGGGTGGGTGGTAGTGAGGGTGAGCCTGCCTTGGCCCGTCTCCCTCTGCGATACTGACCCACTTTAGCCTTCCCTGCTTTTTAGCCTGGACATACCTTCCCTGGGGGCTACCCCCCAGTGCCTAGTTCTCTTGGACCAGGGACAGGCAGTGGTGAGAGCTGAGGGGGCTGCCTGAAGCAGTGACCATAGAAATTGATCAGGGCAAGATTTCTGGACACCAGAGCATGGTGGTTAAGGGCCTGATGGCCACTTTTTAAAACTCCCAGCTCCGCCTTTTGACCTTTCTGGGACTTAGTTTACTTAGTAAAATGGACTAATGATAGTATCAATGCTGGTTTTTGTTTGTTTTTTTTTGTTTTTTGTTTTTTTTTTTTTTGAGATGGATTCTCCCTCTGTCACCCAGGCTGGAGCACAGTGGTGCGATCTTGGCTCACTGCAACATCCGCCTACTGGGTTCAAGCTATTCTCCTGCCTTAGCCTCCCGAGTAGCTGGGATTATAGGTGCAGGCCACCACACCCAGCTAATTTTGGTGTTTTTCGTAGAGACAGGGTTTCACCATGTTGGTCAGGATGATCTCGAACTCCTGACCTCATGATTCACCCACCTTAGCCTCCCAAAGTGCTGGGATTACAGGCGTGAGCCACTGCACCACACCAGTATCAATGTCTTTAGGTTGCTAAGAGAATTGGTAAGTGATTGATCACTCATAACAGCATTTGGCACACAGTAAATGCTCTATAAACTTTATACTTGGATCCATGGACCCATAGAAGCCAGAAGTCTCGACTTTTCTCTGAAGGTTGAATTCATGGGGGGCTAGAGAGAATGTCCAGGCAGGGAGGAATGAGAAGAGAGGGAGGCTCCCTGGCAAAGTAGAACACGAGGTGCAGTGGAAGGAATGTTTCTTTGGCTAGGAAGTGGGCTGCTTTAAGTTCAGAGACCCTGGGAGTGTGTGTATGCAGTGAGGAGGCAGGGTGAGGGCAGTCCCCTGAGCTGAGCTCAGGAGAGCTGGGGTCCTAGCCCCAGTTCAAACCTGTGTTGCTGTGTGACATAGGAAAGCCACCACCCATTTCTAAGCTTTGCGTTTCCTCTCCTTCTTGGAACCATCTGGTCTCCAGGAGTTGCTTCCAGAACAATCAGTGATTGTGGCCGAACCCAGAAGACCAGCTCAGGAGCCCAGCTGAGTCAGCGCACAGAAGATGTGGTCCTGAACTCCGCTCTGCTTGTCACTTCCCTTATGCCCATTTTACAGATGAGGACGCAGGCTCAAAGGCTGACTCACTAATAGTTCCCCACCTGTTCGTGGCAGGGATGGGTTCAGAGCTCTCCTGCGTGCATAATAATCCACCTACAGGAAATAAACTATCTGTCACTGCAGTGCACAAAAACAACTGCTTAGATTTTTACACACTGGGGGGTGTTCGTTTGGGATGATCTGATTTTTTTTTTTTTCTTTTCTTTCTTTTTTTTTTTTTTTTCTTTAAGAGATGAGATCTTGCCCAGGCTGGAGTGCAGTGGTGCAATCGTAGCTCACTGCAGTCTCAAACTCCTGGGCTAAAGAGATGGGATGATCTGATTTTAAATACAGGCTGCCTCGAGTATTCAGAGTTTGCTTTTGGGGTTTCCAGGTCGACCCAGAGTGTCTCAGAGAAAAAGCAACTACCCATGGAGGAGGGCTGGAACTGAGGCACCAGGGGAGACACGGGAGATGAGGTGAGTAAATTAAGAAGCTGAGCAGACGGAGAAAACAGTGGCCAGGGGTAGGCACTCGAATACTGACATTCATGTCTGACCAAGTTGCCATTTCTTAGAACGCTGAGTCCAAGGTGTTGAAGTCATGTGCTCCTCAGGAGGCAGCAATACTTATTTATTTAATGATGACAGACCTGACATTTCCATTTGGATGTCTGAGGCAACTCAAACTTCATGTGTCTTGAACTAAATCTTCTGCTTTCACCCCACTAAACCAGCAACTCCTGCAACCTTCCCATCCCAGACAATGACAGCTCCCTCCTACTTAGGTCAAAACCCTTGGAATCACCTTTGACACCCCTCTCACACGCACACTCAATCTGTTAGCAAATTATGTTGGCTCTGCTGTCAAGATGTATCCAGAACTTGACCCTTTCTCACCAGCTCCCCTACCTCCACCATTGTCTCTGGCCTAGATTATTTCAATAGTCTCCTTACTGGTCCGGCAGCTCCAAGCTTCCCTGTAAGGTGATCTGTTCCTCAAGCAGTATCTGGAACATCCTTTTAAAAATCTAAGGCACATTGCTTCTCTCCTCTGTTCAAACTCCTTCAGTGGCTCCCATCTCTCTCAGAGCAAAGGACAATGTCTTTGGAATGTTCCAGAAGGCCTAAACAGTCTAGTCCTCTTTGTTGGTTCCTTACAATACCTCTGGGAAGTAAGCAAGGGAGGAAGGATTGCTCCCACTTTACGGGTAGGAGAACTGAGACCCAGAGGGTAGAGATTATGTTCTTAGGTCTGAAGCACAGAGCATCTAGGGGCTCTGTCCATCACTCAGTCCCAGAAGCCTGAGTGGGCAGCTGCTGGTGCCTCTCATCAGATGGGTCCGCTCAACCCACCCTCTCCGCAGAGCACTGGCTCCCCGCCCATTCTCCAGAGTCAGACCCGATGCCAAAATAGGCTAATGGACACTGTGTGCTTGGCCGGGGCAGGCCCTCGGATTCCACCCCTTTTTAGGCTAGATCAGAGCAGTGCATGGTCCACTCTGAGCTGCTGAGTAGCCATCAGAGGAATTTAAATCCCCTAAGCCGTGGAGTGGGTCAGTCTTAGGCAGCTGACTTTGTCCCTGCTCTGACTCTGACTCGCTGAGTGAGCCTAGGCAAGTCATTCTCTCTTCTGAGATACACTCTCTCCACCTGCGTGGAGTTCTAACATTAGGCATTGGAAGAACAAATTAATGGAACCTGGGCTGTATCCTTATGAGGTTGACAAAGAACCAGAAGCCAGAAGATATCAACGATCAACTTTTGCCATTGCCCTTAACAAAGGTCCATGGTGGAATGTCACAGGGCTCTGCCCCCAGCCCCACCTGTTCAACAGGTCTATAGATCATTTTAAGGTGGGAAGATGGCCCAGTACAGCATAGCTAGGAGGGGCAATAAGGCATTGGATATCAGAACCAGAATGTCCAAAGATCCTGACCAGCAGGACCGATGAGCAGAATATAAGCAAACAAAATATAATAAGAGTGGCTGGGCACAGTGGCTTGTGCCTGTAATCCCAGCAATTTGGGAGGCTGAGGATGGAGGATCACTTAAGGCCAGGAGCTTAAGACCACCCTGGGCAACACAGAGACACTCTGTCTCTACAAAAAAACACACCAAAAAAGTTAGCTGGGTGTGTTGGCACCCACCCATAGTCCTAGCTACTTAGGAGGCTGAGGTGGGAGGATTGTTTGAGCCCCAGCAATCGAGGCTTCAGTGAGCTATGAATGCGTCACTGCACTCCAAGATGGGTGACAAAGCAAGATCCCGTCTCTAAAAAAAATTTAAAACTATATAATAAGAGTGACTGCCAACCCCCGAACTTGGACTCAAATGCCAACAACTAAGTGTGGGGTGAAGAGGTTAAGACTGAGATGGAGTGGGTTTAAATTGGTCATTCTCTAGGGGACATTTTACATAATGCATGGGGTCGTTTTTGCACTGGGGGCTCTAGTGACATTTACAGGGCAAGAATCAGGAATGCTGGGCATCCCATAGTGGATGGGACAGTCCCACACAACAGAAATTTGGCCCACATCGTTCGTAGTTTTCAAACGTCCGCCAGATGCAAACCTACGACAACTATAAATCGGTCAGCCTTTACTACATTGCAGTACTGAAAGGTTTCTACAAGAAGTTCCGTGAAAAACTCAGTAACTTAGAAAAAGGTTGTTATTGACAAGGACACATAAATGGAATGGCAGTGAGTCAATTATTGAATAACATTCTCATTCCTCACAGCCTGTCTAGTCAATGTGTTAGACCACCGCCAACTACATATCTAGAGGAAAAGGGTTCCAGGGCACGAACGCTGTTACAGCAAAAACAGTGAAACCAACTGCAGATACTTATAACAGAGGAGGTGTGTGACTCTTTTTTACAATCTTAGAGACAAGTATTAGTAAATTAGGAGAGATGCAAGAAATCTCACTGAATCTCACAAAATGACCATAAGGATGATTACTTTAAATCTATGTTGTGAAAAAGATACATTGAGATGATGAGGTCACCATTTATTTTCCAGTCTTGTTCAGAAATTGTTTCCACAGGTGCCCCACATGGCTCCTCCATAGCGTGTTGGATTAAAGCTGCTTTCATGATCTATTTGCTTGTTGCCTCTGCCTCATGAGGGATCTGAAGGCAGAATGCACCCCTCTGTTGCAAGTGGGATTTTCAAGGAAGATGTATTTTCTGGGTGACCACATAGCTACCCTGGCCTGTGTCATAAAATGGGAGTTCTTTATCACTGCACACTGAGGCTCACCTTCCTTATTTCCCCCACTGACAGGCTGCAGTGTGCCTTGAGGGTACTCTCCTTACTCCAATTAAAGTCTTTCTTTCTGTTATCACATACAAATAAGTCAAGTCTGTTATGTCTTGCCCAAACAGCAGGTTTTATTTCAATCTTCACCCTCACCTCCTGACATTTCATTTTTTTGGAACTTCTTTTGTGTCATGGCGTCTGGTCTGCTTACATCTCTGGAATCCAGACTTACTAATTACGGGCATACAGGGTCCTGGCACCTTCATTATGCCTTCTTGGGTAGTTGCGCCTAAGAACATATTGAAATACACTTTATTTTTTTTATCACAAATCACTTCCATTTTATGTCTCCTTTGTATTAGAGACATTGCATTGATGTATGTGTGTATTATCATCCATAAGTTTCATTTCAAAACATTTAAATGAAAGAAAGCATAAAATGTTTGATAGAGAAAGGGGGCTTGGGTAATCATACTTGTGGGCTTAAACTCAGCTAGAATGTGTTCACATGTTCATCAAAAGATATGTGGCCAGGTGCAGGAGCTCACACCTGTAATCCCAACACTTTGGGAGGCCGAGGCAGGTAGATTGCTTGAGCACAGGAGTTTGAGACCAGCCTGGGCAACATGACGAAACCTTATCTCTACCAAAAAATACAAAAATTAGCCAAGTATAGTGGCACACACCTGTAGTCCCAGCTACCTGGGAGGCTGAGGTGGGAGGATCGCTGGAGCCCAGGGAGGTAGAGGCTGCAGAGAGCCCCGATGGTGCCACACCACTCCAGCCTGGGTGAGAGAGTGAGACCCTGTCTGAAAAATAAAAAAAGTAAAAGATACGTGCAAGAATGTTTACAGCAGCACCATCTGTAATAGTTCCAAACTGGAAACAACACGAATATCTCAAAAATCTCGAAGCTGAATGGATACATAAACTGAGGTGAGGCGCACAAAGGAACACCCACAGCAGGAAGAATCAGTCACTCAAAGCTACACTCAGCAGTACAGATGGGTCTCACACGAGCATGCGGTTGAGTGAGAGAAGCCAGCCACAAAAGAGTGTGTGCTGAATGACACCACTTATAGAAAGTTCTAGAATCAGCACAACTCATCCATGCTATTAGAAGGCAGGAGAGTGATTACCTTTGAGGGATGGAGGGTGGATGGAAGCACAAGGGGAACTTCCGGCATGATGATCGTGTTCCTGTTTCGTGGATGGATGGTGAATGGAAGCACAACGGGAACTTCCGGGGTGATGGTCGTGTTCCTGTTTTGTGATCAGATGGGTTCAGTTTGTGAAAATGTATCAAGTTGTACAGTGATGTGCACTCTTCTGAATATAGGCTCATATTAGGGTTCTCCAGAGAAACAGAAAACAGACCCAATGGGGTGTGTGTGTGTGTGTGTGTGTAAAGAGATAGAGAGAGAGATAGAGAGAGCAGAGAAGAGGGGAGAGATTTATTTTATTTTAAGGAATTGGCTTACATGACTGGAGGCTGGCAAGTCCCAAATCTGCAGGCTAGGGTGGCAGGCCAGAGACCCAGAGAAGAGCTGACGTTGTAGTTCAAGTCTGAAGGCCACCTGCTGGCAGAATTCAGTCCTTTCCTGTGAAGGCTTTCAATGGATTGACCAAGGCCCACCCACACTGTAGACAGATTGCTTCACTCTGCTGCTTTACTTTTGTGATCTACTTTACTCAAGTCGGCTGATTTAAATACCAATTTCATCTTTTAAAAGATCGTGCCTAGCCAAATTGACATATAAAATCAACTGTCACAATGCTATACCTCAATTAAAAAGTGATTAAAGTGGGGAGTGCTTTGGGCTGAGGGTTGAGAACCACTAATTTAGTTGAAAGCTCATAAAGGGACCCACCCTTTTTTTTTTTTTTTTTTTGAGATGGAGTCTTGTTCTGACTCCCAGGCTGGAGTGCAGTGGCGTGATCTCGGCTCACTGCAACCTCTGCCTCCCAGGTTCAAGCAATTATCCTGTCTCAGCCTCCTGAGTAGCTGGGACTACAGGCACACACTGCCACACCCAGCTAATTTTTTGTGTTTTTAGTAGAGACAGGGTTTTGCCATGTTGGCCAGGCTGGTCTCGAACTCCTGATCTCAGGTGATCTGTCTGCCTTGGCCTCCCAAAGCGCTGGAATTACAGGCGTGAGCCACTGTGCCCGGCCAGGGACCCACATTTAAATTACAATCACCAAAGGGCGAGTTCTGCATTTGGTTGCACAAGCAGGAGTATTATAACCGGATCAAGGAAGAGGATGTGTGTTCCCCCTGTCCTCCCCGCTCCCTCCTTCACCCCCTCTCCCCCTTTCTGCTGATTATTCATCACCTGGAGAATTCTGGTCATTTCTGAAAGCTGTTCCTTCACAGTGACCCAGCTTGTCATGGGAGTTATGTAGCCAAGGGAGTAGCCAAGAAAGAATGTTTGGTATCTCAAAGAAGCACGATTCACACAACAAAACAAAAGCCTTCAAAAAAATAGGTGCCCTTAACCTCATAAAGGGCATCGATGAAAAATCTACAGCTAGCATCATACTTCCTGGCAAAAGATTAGATGTTTCCCTCCCAAAGATCAGGAACAAAACAGTGATGCTCATTCTTGCCACTTTTATTCGACATTGTGCTGGAGGTTCCAACCAGGGCAATTAGTTAAGAATATGGAAAAAAAGGCATCCAGATGGGAAAGAAATAAAACTATATTTGCAGATGATATAATCTTTTATATACAAAAAGATGGTAAGGAATCAACTAGAAAATTAGTGAAACTAATAAACAAATTCAGAAAGGTTGTGGAACCTGTATGTAAAATCAATATATAAAAAGCAATTGTATTTCTATACACTAGCAATGAATAATCTAAAATCCAACTAAGAAAACAACTTAATTTACAATAGCACCAACAAGAATAAATTGTAGGTATAAATTTAACAAAAGGTATACAAGACTTGTATACATAAAACTACCAAATATTGTTGAAAGAAATGAAAGATCTAAGTAAATGGAGACACACTCCGTGTTCATGGATCAAAGGACTTCATATCATTAAGATGGCAATACTCTTGGAATCCGTCTAAAGATTCAATGCAATCTCTGTCAAAATTCCAGCTGGCTTTTTTTTTTTTTTTTTTGGCAGAAATTGACAAGATGATCCTAAAATTCATGTGGAATTGCAAGAGACCCCAAATTAACTAACTACAACGCTCAGGTAATCAGGACAGTTTGGTACCAGCCTAAGGATAGACATATAGATTAAGGGAATAAAACTGAGCATGCAGAGATAAACCTTTATGCTTATGACCAATTGACTTTCAACAAGGGTGTCAAGACCATTCATTCAACAGGGGAAAGAAGAGTCTTTCAACAAATGATGCTAGGACAACTAGATATTCACATCCACACCACACACAAAAATCAACTCAAAATGGATCATAGACCTAAATGTAAGTTAAAAGTATAAAACTCTTAGAAAAAAACACAGGAGTAAACTTTCATGACCTTGGGTTAATCTAAATCTTCTTAGATATAACACTATAGGCACAAATGGCTAAAGAAAAAAAGACTGAACTTCATCACAATTAAAAAGTTCTCTGTTGCAAACAATATCCAGAAGGTAGAAAGACAACCCACAGAAATTTAAAAAAAAAGGAAAATCACATGTCTTATTAAGGGATTTGTATCCAGAATATACAAAGAAGCTTTGCAACTCATATAAATATGCAGTGGTTTACACCTGTAATCCCAGCACTTTGGGAGGGCAAGGCAGGCGGATCACTTGAGGTCAGGAGTTCGAGACCAACCTGGTCAATGTGGTGAAATCCTGTCTTACCAAAAATACAAAACTTAGCTGGTCGTGGTGGCTGGCACCTGTAGTCCCAGCTACTGGGGGGCTGAGGCACAAGAATCACTTGAACTCGGGAGGTGGAAGTTGCAGTGAGCCGAATGCATGCCACTGCACTCCAACCTGGGCAACAGAGTGAGACTCCGTCTCTAAATAAATAAATAAAAGTCGTATAACTCAACCTAAAAATGGGCAAAGGATTTGAAGGGACAATTCTCCAAAGAAGATATGCAAATGGGTAGTAAGCACATGAAAAGATGTTCAGCATCTTCAGTCATTAGGGAACTGTCTATCTAAACCATGAAATACGACTTCATACCCGCTAGACTGGCTCTAACAAAAATGAGAGACAATATTAAGTGTTGACAAAGACATGGAGCAATTGGAAATTCATAGATTGCTAGTGGGAATGTGAAATCGTGCAACAACTTTGGAAGGCAGTTTGGTAGTCCCTGAAAAAGTTAAACATTGAGTTACCATGTGATCTAGCAATTCCACTTCTAGGTATATATATCCAAGAGAATTTTTTTTTTTTCTCTGCTAAAAATTCCTTCATTAGAGAAGAAGAGGAAAACAAGTCCCAGGAGACAACCAACAATAACTCCCACCACCACCCTTTCTTTTTCTTTTCTTTTTTCTTTTTTTTTTTTATCGAGACAGAGTCTCACTCTGTCGCCCAGGCTATAGTGCAGTCGTGCAACCTCGGCTCACTGCATCCTCTGCCTCCTGGATTCAAGCAATTTTCATGCTTCAGCCTCCCGAGTAGCTGGAACTGACTACAGGTGTGTGCCACCACGCCCAGCTAATGTTTTTGTATTTTTAGTAGAGACGGGGTTTTGCCATGTTGGCCAGGCTGGTCTCAAACTCCTGACCTCAGGTGATCCACCTGCCTCAGCCTCCCAAAGTGCTGGGATTACAGGCGTGAGCCACCACGCCTGGCCTCTTTTTCAAACACAAGCAGTCCAATCTGGCAAAAATATCAATCCTTGGATTTGGAGAAAAAACTCATAACAGGCTTCTCTGACTTTGCCAGACATCTTCCATCCACACATAGACAGAGCCAGAGACTGTAATAAATCAGCGTCAGGGGGAGGAGGCTCCGAGTTTGATGACACATGTGTCAAAATGTCTGTCTGAGTGAATTCCTAACTTTCCACCTGAGTGAGCTCTTGGAGGAGTAAACTGTTCTGCTGGCCAAAGGTAGACAGCAATATCAAAACTCCATGTACACGCTCCAGTTGACTGAATACCATGAAGCATTCTCAGCACAACAACATAGAAACACTTCAAAGGAAGGATTCTTCCTCTAAGTTCCACCAATTACATTACTTGGGCCTGAAACCATCTTGTTAGACTGCATGTTGAGGCTCGTTATTCTAGATTTGTTTGGTGCTGTCTTTGCATTCAAGTCTTGTTGTCCAGAACTAATGCAGGCACAATCCAACTGCAATTTTATCATCATGTGTTTTGGATGTTACAGTTAGCCTCCATTCCCCTTCCTTCTCCTTCTTAAGTATCACTAAAGCCTTCTCGGCCCCCGACCAACACCCCGACTTTTGCTGACACCAGCCTCCCCAAGAGAAATTAAAATATACATCCACACAAAAACATATACACAAATGTTCACAGTATCATTATTCACAAGAATTAAAAAGTGGAAACAAACCAGGCTCAGTAGCTCACGACTGTAATCCTAACACTTTGGGAGGCTGAGGCAGGAGGATCACTTGAGCCCAGGAGTTTGAGATCAGGTTAGGCAACACAGCGAGACCTTGTCTCTACAATAAAATGAAATAAGAAAAAATTAGCCAAGTGTGGTAGCACACATCGGTAGTCCCAGCTACTCAGGAGGCTAAGGTGGGAGGACTGCTTGAGCCCAGGAGGTTGAGACTGCAGTAAGCCATGATTGTGCCACTGTACTGCAGCCTGGGCTACAGAACAAGACCCTGTCTCTAAAAATAAAATAAAAGTGGAGACTACCCAAATGTCTATCAGCTGATGAATGGATAAATAAAATGTGGTATATTCATATAATGGAACATTATCTAGCAATAAAAAGAAATATAATTCTGATATGTGCCACAACATGGAAGAACCTTGAAAACATTATGCTAAGTGAAAGAAGCCAGCCACAAAAGGTGACATATTGTATAATTTGATTTATATGAAATGTCTGGAATAAGTAAACCTATAAAGATAGGAAATAGGCTCTCAGTTGCCTAGGACTGGGGAGAGAGTTAAGGAGTTCACTCCTAATGGGTATGAAATTTCTTTTTTGGGTGAAGAAATGTTCTAAAATGAGATGATGGTGATAGATCTACAACTTTGTGAATACACTAAGTATCAAATTGTACACTTTAAATATGGTATATTCATTACGTCTCAGTAAAACTATTTAAATAAACAAAAAGAACAAATCCTTGACTTGTAAGTTCCACGGTAGAGATTTAGTCTAAGGAAATAGTTGCCAACAGGCTCAAAGATGTAGCGTATATCACCCAGAGTTCAGGTGCAGGTCACAGAAACCACATTCACTACTTTCAACATAAGGAGATTTAATGCGAGAAGTTGTGTTCTTGCAAAATCATGAAAAGTTCTGAAGCAAGGGACCTGGGCTTCTAGGAGTGATTCTTAGAATGTCACCACTAAACTGGCCTGCCCAGGAAGATGCTGCCTCTGCCACCACCCAGAAGCTTGGGAACTATTGTCTTCAGGAATTTGTCACCTTAGCTTCACTCCAGCCATCAGATGCGGCTGATGTCCCATCACCACTTCTCAACACCCAAGAGTTGGTGACCAGGCACTGTAGACACGGCTGTAGGAGGTCTCAGTG